CCAAAGCTCCATTCTCTTCTCTAATGGTTTCTTCCCCCATTATATTGTTTACTGCCAATATAATCAACAACTTTACCACCATATATAATAAGGTATAAATCTCCAAGAAGCCATTAATGGTGAAAAGATAGATGAGCAAAAAAATGCATTATGCCTAAACTAAACCAAATTAAAAGGGAATTGAATTCCAAATTAAAGTATTCAGCCCCAAAAACTGCAAAACTTAGAAACACATTATGGACGCTTCCTATTATCATAGTAAGATAGGTATTCATTCCTACTATAACTATACTATATATGCATGATGAGAATAAAGAAGTGTACCTAATTGGCTTTCAGCTTGCCCAGATCTCTCTCTCTCTCTCTCTCTCTCTCTGTGACGCTGAAGGAGTGGTGGAGTGGCTGTAAATAGCAGAGCTCGATCATCATTTTATAACAGCATGCATATGTGCATTATTGAAAAATGAAATTTAATTATTGAGAATAATTACCATTATCCCTATCTCATTTTTGAGGTTAAGTTTACTATTTATTGGTTAAAGACTTAAAAAGTGATTCATTTTACTTTTTTTTTTAAAAGCTAATTTCATGTGAGATGTGTAATACTTCTTAACTAAAATATAATTTTTTTTTAATAATATTTTAATTTATTTTATTTGTTGTGCTTAATGAAACAATTAATTTCACTTTTGGTCCCACAACTTTTAAGGTCTTATCACTTTTGGTGCACAACTTTAAATTTTTTTCATTTGGGTGCCTAATTTTGTTATTTTTATTAGTTTTGGTCATTCCAGGTCAAATTGACAGTGAAATGTTGTCGAATTTTATATTTTAGTGACAAAATCGTCATCCCACGAAAAGATCTTAATATCTAAACAAAAGAAAAATCATATTAAGAGAAAAAGAAGAGTTTGTCAATCGTCGACGCTATAAATCTCATAGATATGTGTCTAGTTTCTGCTCGTCTTCTCCATTATTCTCATCGATCAAAGCCCCATATATATAATTTTACAGTGATTTTGTTTATATATTGAAGTTGTTTCATTGGGATGATGATTTTTTACCCCTAAAAATATAAAATTTGACAACATTTCACAATCAATTTGGCCGAAAGGACCAAAACTAATAAAAAGTGATAAACTTCAAAAGTTGAAGGACCAAAAGTGAACTTAATTCTTAATGATACTTTTGATATTGTTTCTAAACATATAAATTTTATATACTAACACTAAACTAAATAATACAAATAATTAAGTTATAAACAAATTGAGTCTAGGCTTATATTAACTAACCCAATTGTTATATCGTGCACTAGGGTGCACAATGTATTGTGCGCCATAAAAATCTCATGTTTTGTATGTACATAATTGTATAGTAGAATACGCATAAACTCTTAACATAATACACATAATCTTAACATAATACATAATATACATAAACTCTTAACATAATACACATAAACTCTTAGGGCGTACAATACATTGTGCACCCTGGTGCACGATATAATTTGCCAACTAAACCCAACATTTAAAAAAAAAAAAAAAAAAAAAAAAAAAAGAACGAAAAGCTTATAAAAATTCAAATACCTTTACATAATAATATTGATTCACCATATCTACTATTTCTCCCCTAGAAATGAAGATTTTAAAACATCAAGGGGATTCCATGTAATTTCAATTCTTGAAATTTAAAAAATTGAAACATCAAAGAAAAACACCAACTTAAACATGAGAATTCACATTTTAAGAATTTAATTTTAGTGAATTAAACGGACTATAAATGATTTTACGATGTTGGTAGGGCCATAGGGATAAGGACATCATTTTGTTATACCAAATATTATTGTCACATGTGCTCTACAATATATCAGTATCAAATATATAATTAAATATATACTTTATGTGTAAAAAAAATTAGTATTTTAATCATGTGATGCATGAAAGAAATTATGTTATTATGAATTTAATTAAAAAATTAAAAAAATAAAAATATATTAAAATGTACAATATAATACTCCGTATTATAGTTGAACTTCACATATATTTTATCAAGTATATATTTTCATAGCATATAAAATTAAAATTAAAATTTTATATAATTAATATGATTTCTAATCATGTACATATTAAAATAAATTTATATAATTAAATTGATTTATTCCTAATTTCATTTCATATATATTATAATTCCAACAATAGTTAAAGAAATTTTATTAGAAATCGAAAGATGTAAATTTTGCTATAATAAATGAATAGTAAACACCACCTTATAATGTAATAGAGTTTCTATTGTATTTATTGTTTTCTCAACTTTTTATGTAATAACATTTATACTTACTCAAAATTTATTTATTTTTTCCTTGTTCATAATTCTTGAGTATTTATACACGTGCTACATGCCTGTTGATATTTATATTTGTTTGTGATGGTGGACTGCCTCCTGCATGGCTGGCATGTGCTGGCAAATTATGTCCACACAATGTTGTGTGGATCATAATAAAAAAAAATACATTGTTCTTATATTGAATATATATTATACGAAATAATGTACTTTCAGTATTTAAATAATATATTTTACTTAAATATAATATATAATTAATATTAAAATTATATTATTTGTGTGTTAAATATATATTATTTGATAGTATATTTATTCAGTTGTGTAGATCATGGTCCATACAATAAAGATCCGCATGTGGTGTGGTCGGAGTTTAAAATTAAAGTACATACTACCTAATATTTCCTCTGCACCTGAAACATGTGATGTGATCATATACTAAAATTGATCCGCCCCGCTGGACTGATTTGCTTTGTCATTATTATGGAACAAATTATATGGTCGAACAAGATTCATCATTTATTGTGGAGCAAATTATATTTATAATATAGAGTTAATGAACAATTTGATCCCTCAATTATTAGCGAACTGTCAATGTAGCCTCTCAATTGCTTATTCATTGATTTGGTCCCCGAAAATAATTATTTTTAGTCGATTTCGTCCCTCAGGCCGTCTTTCGTCGATGGCCGGAGGAACTAAATTGACTAAAAATAATTGTTTTGGGGGACCAAATCGATGACCAGAGGGACTAAATCGACTAAAAATAATTGTTTTTGGGGACCAAATCGATGAATAAGCAATTGAGGGACTACATTGACAGTTCGCTAATAATTGAGGGACCAAATCGTTCATTAACTCTATAATATATGTCTTCTATCTACATCTACAAATTTAATAAGAGCCAATAATGTTAGACTCTTAATAGTAACAAAAAAAAAATGTCGGTGGTAGTTGTTTTTTAAAATGAACTAGTATTTGTGCCCGTGCGTTGCACGGATTGAATTTGTTATAATATTTTAAAAATATTTAGATTGATATACAATTGTATAAATTATAACATCGAATATTATATAATATAATTAAAGAATTGAGTTGCACCGATTATGTTTTCTGATGTTATCAATGCTTGAATTCAAGTAAATAATTTCTCAATTAATAGCTAACGTGTAGATATACGCATTCGTTGCTACAACGGTAGAGATTTTATATATCAGTGTATATAATTTGTATTAATTGGGCTAATTAATTCGTTGTCTAGCAACTCAGTTATAGAAATTATTTATATGGAAGTTATATTTTCTATGTAGATATATAGCAATTTTGTCATCTTTGTTTATTAAAAAAACATAATATCAATGGCTTGAATTATACATTATTGAAAATCTCTTTGTAGACGACATTGGTAGTAGTAACGGGATTTTATTCATCCTCGTCTAGAGTTAAAACAATCAGACCATCAGGATGGGTGACTCGGGAAAAAGTCACATACAATTAACCGTGATTAAAGACTGATTTTTTCGGTAATAACTCAACGTGAATCATTGTTCACATCTTTGAATTATTTATTTTTTTCTTTACCTATTATAAACAGAAATTACGATATTTATCAAATTGTATTTTAAAAAATATATATAACATTTAGTCATTTACACATGTTATGAGGGGTTAAAAAATATTTTAAAAATATTTTTTATTAATATGTATTTTTATTTTAAAATATTTTCCAGCAATCCGAACACTCCATTAGCTTCCCATAAAAAACTGATAAAGAAAAGTCACTTCATTAAGAAAATTAAAATTAATTAAAGTAAATCTAATCATGCTATATTTAATTGTAACTGTATATTAATTTCAGAGTTAATACCCAAAATCGTCCTCGATTATAGTGGTTTTTCTCAATTTCATCCTAAACGACTTTGGTGACCTAATATCGTCCCAGACTTTTGTGTTTCGCTCAATTTAGTCCTTCATTTGTTATTCCGTCAAATTGGTGTTAAATAAAGGGACAATTCAATAATGTCAATATTGATCTCTCTTTACTTTCAACTTGTGAAGTACGAAATTCCTCTTTCTTGTACAAATTACATACACCCAGAATTACTTCCGAACCTGCAAATCAAATTTTATATTCGCAGTTTTAGGAGTAATTCTGGGAGTAATTTGTAAAAAAAATAAAAAAAGGATTTCACAGTTCACATGTCTATGAGTAAAGAGATGCCAATATTAAAATTACTGAATTGTCTATTTATTTAACACCAAATGGACAGAATAACAAATGAGGGACTAAATTGAGCAAAAACACAAAAGTCTTGGACTAAATTGAGCGAAACACAAAAGTCTGGGACGATATTAAGTCACCAAAGTCGTTTAGGACGAAATTGAGAAAAACCACTATAGTCGATGACGATTTTGGGTATTAACTCATTAATTTCATTTTGAAATCATTGGTTCACATATTTAATTTTTTTTAATTATTATAATTTATAAATAGAAAGGATATTGTACTAATTAATTTATGATATTTATCAAATTCTATTTTTAAAAAATATAAGATTTACACATGTTATTATGAGCGGTAAAAAAATATTTTAAAATTATTTTTTATTAGTAAGTATTTTTTAAAAAATAATTTCCAGCAACCCAAACACTCACTTAGTCTCCCATCAAAAAACTGATAAAGAAAAGTCATATCATTAAGGGAATTAAAACTAATTAAAGTAAATGTAATCATGCTATATTTATTTGTAACTGTACATTAATTTCATTTTGAAATTATTGGTTCACATAGTTGAATTATTTATTTTTTATTTAATTATTATAAACATAAATGATATTTTACTAATTCATTTATGATATTTATCAAATTGTATTTTTTAATTATAGTGCTTTATCCATGCATTGCACGGAATTTTATTTTTGTTATTATGAATTTAAAATAAAAATAGAAAAAAAAAAGATGTTAAAATGTACAATATAATAATATAGTTGGACTTTTATATATTTAGTCAAGTATCTATTTTCATAACATACAAAATTAAAATTTAAATTTTGTATGGTTAATATAATCTCTAATCATGTACATATTTAGATAAATTTATTGAAAGAATTCATATAATTAAGTTGATTTATTCCAAATTGTATTTCATATCTATATATGAAATTTAAAAATATGAATAATAATAATAACTAAGAGAATTGTACTTAGAAATCAATAAAAAAAATGTAAATTCTAAATTTTGTATGAATAAATAAATATTCTAATCAGACGCATATCCTTATATGATTTTATATTACTTTGTATATACACATAATATTTATTAATATGTATATAGGAAAGTCCTATAATATAATTTCATTAATTATAATTTATATTGATAGATTTATACTTAAAAATTATATTTAAAAATTTAAAGAGTATATGTATGTATATTTAAAAAAATTATAAATATTCATTTTTTGTTAATTTTATAATTTCATTTCTTTAATTATATTTCATATTTTATTAATTATAATTTAATGAAATTGTCACAAATATTTCTACGGAAGAAATTATATATTTCTCAATTTCATTAATCATATTAATTATAATTACCAAATTTGGTGGCAATTACCACAATAATTTCATTAATTATAACATTTGTTTTCTTCCAATATTTAAATACATTACCATAAAATTACCATAATAATAACACAAAAGAAGGAAAGAAAAATTATGAGAATAATCTATATCTATATATAATTAAAAGTAAAATCCTCCTAACCAAGTTTATCCCCAAAACTTAGGGGCATATATATATATATATATATATATATATATATATATATATATATATATATATATATATATATATATTGCATATTTACCATATATGCATATTTTGTGTTTATATAGTATAATTTTTGGTATCAAACATTTGAATGGTAATAAACGGGGGAAAATGTCAACATACAAATGATAATTCTTTCATTACTGTACTAATTTTAATGGTAATTCATTAATTACTATATTTCACGATGAGTCATTTTGTTCATGCCCATCATTTTTCAAAAAACATAGAAATGAAATAGTCAATTATTAAAATTGTTTATGATTTCGTTTTTAATTTTTGTTTAAAGTTAAAGATATATATTATCGGCGATTATAACATTTTTTGTATTAACTGAAAATTTGATATTTTCAAAATCAACTCAGCATCACGCTCAATGAAAATATCTCTCACACAATCCCTATCCCATGACGTACCTTCAATGTTAAGTAATGATGAAACCGGAGCATTTGCAAGCTCCCCAGGCACGTCGGTGTGTATATACGGATCATCATCATCAGGAAGCCATGGTGTATTCCCAATTGACGTATCATAGCCATTCCCAATTGCTCGCCGGCAGCCATCCCTCATCGTGCTCTGTCCAGCCAACAAATCACGGCAAATATAAGACGGATTAGATCCATCCTTTGCCTCAAAAAAATCTGTATGCGGATAATAGCGAGCCTTATATACCTTAGTAACCAACGAGGTGGGATTCGTAATAAGGCGCCAGGCCTGCTTTCCTAATAATGCAAGGTTCATCTCATGCAACCTCCTGAAGCCCATGCCCCCAACCGTTTTAGGAGCACACAAACCTCCCCACAATCGCCACCTTATTCCTTTCCCCGATCCCACTGAGCCCGTCCACCAATATTCATTCATAAGTGTTTCCATCTCGTTACACAGGCCCACCAACCAATATTGTCCGGTGCGATTATTTCTTTTATTAATTTCGAACTCTTCATATTGCCAACCGGCAATTATGCAAAACATGCACCATCAGTCTCGCCCAAAACGCAGTGTTTTGTGTGGGGGATCTGTTTTTTTCTATTTTATATTACCAAATATGTTTGGCTTCATTATAGTAGAGGATGTCACATATTTTGATTTTTAGTTTAATAAAAGCGGGTGAAATCATTTCTTTTTCTTTCTTTAATAAAATTTGTACTTTAAATGCCCTGCAAGATACACATCTCAAAATGCTCACAATGTTTCAATTCCAAATGTAAAACATGCATCTTCCTGTGATTAAATAAAAAAACATGTTTCCTGAAGAAGGGGAAGTGGCCATTTCTAAACAATAGTTACACAACATATTTGGGCAAATGTTTCTTTGAGAAATGACAAGCAAACAATAGTTACACAACATATATGGGCAAGTGTTTCCTTGAGAAATGACAAATTTAGGAAACACAGTTCCTAAGCAACACTGAATTCCAATCAAATCTGCACACACCTATAACTAAAGGATTTATTTCGTCTCAAGAGAAAAATTTAAACTGATAGTAAGACTGAGCATATATTATTTCTATATATTTATGCTCGACGCTTATGACCCGCTATGCAAACCACTGAAGTCCAACTGAATGTAGGCAAGAACACGACCACACTGTCACTTAGTGATTGTCATTGAATTTTTTTTAGCTTTAGTTGCAAATGTCTCTGCTACCAAAAGGGGGAAAGCAATGGTTGCATCACAGTGTACCTGCACAAGACATAACAACATAAAATGTTTTGTCACAGCTTGTTCAAACAAGGCAGTTAGTTAAATAGATAAAAAAAAATATTTCAAGAATGGTTAGTTATGCTTTGGCAATTGGCATTGCTAACCTTCACAGCTTTGGCTACATTGCGTATTTTTCCCCACGATACAGCTTCATCTGGGCGGGCACCAGAATCGCTTCCATCGAACTCCTGGGCCGTGTTGATGTAATAATATATTGTGTGGTGTCCAAGTAAGAGTGAGTACTGTTTACTTGGACTATTAACTATTGATTGACTAAAAATTATCTTAATTATTAAGACAATTCATAGGTATTTAGCTTTAAAAAAATTTCAAATATATAAATTATACATAGTAGCATAGAATCAATTAGTAGAAAAATTATATTAGGTAATCTAATTAATAATTTACTTTTTAAATATCCCCTTCATAATGAATATTTTATTAAAATATATACACAAACAATGCTTATCAAAATAGAATTAAAAGTATATATATATATATATATATATATATATATATAAATATATATATATATATATATATATATATATATATATATATATATATATATACGTACGTAATGTATATTATTATTAGTACAAAATCAATTATACTTGCCTTAATAATTACATAGTAATTATTAATATTATTGCATAATAATTATGTATTGTCACCTTTTTCGATGTAATTATTATGGTAATTTGTATACATATATATTTTTATACTTAATGTATAATATTATTGGCACAAAATGAATTATACTTACCTTAATATATAATTAATTTTTAATATAATTTCCTAATTTTTATTAAAGGTAATTATTCTCATAATTTTTCTTTCCTTCTTTTTGTGTAATTATTATGGTAGTTTTATGGTTATGTACTTAAATATTGGAAGAGAACAAATAATATAATTAATATTAATATAATATAATTAATGAAATTATTATGGTAATTGCCACAATATTTGGTAATTATAATTAGTATAATTAATGAAATCTATATCTATATTTATATATAATTAAAATTAAAATCTTTCTTGACAAATTGTCTCCCTCAAAATTTAAGGGCATTTCTGTAATATCATCCATTATATATATATATATATATATATATATATATATATATATATATATATATATAATACAATTAATAATATTTCATATATATATGAGAAGACGATATTATTATACTTGAAAATTTGGAATTTATGCATAGTGCATATATAAATTACACAGAATTTATAAAACGTTAATGTTAATAATAATAATAATAACAACAACAACAATAATAAATCATAATAATAATTTTAAAGTCTGAATTATAAATTAGGTATTATGGTAATAATTAATATATATATATATATATATATATATTATATATTATATATTATTATTATATATTATTATTATTATTATTATTTATATATAAAAAAATCATCCTATTTCATTTTCTCGCCCAAACTTTTGTAGTAAAGATTATTTGGTAAGTAAATGTCAAATGAAAATAAAATAAAATTTATTAATTGGTAATATTATGTATGGTATTATATTCTATAATATAATTGATAATATTATTGTTCAAGTATAATAAAAATTTTATGTAATAATGTAATAATAATAATAATAAAATTAAATTAATAATAATAATAATAATCCAAACAGAACTATATACAAAATAAAATTAAAATTTAAAAAAAAAATAAGAAGAAGACAAAGGTGTCTCCCATTTGTAAATGATGTGGGTTCATTTTGATCCCACATGAGAGTGAGTACTGTTTACTTGGACTATTAACTATTGATTGACTAAAAATTATCTTAATTATTAAGACAATTCATAGGTATTTAGCTTTAAAAAAATTTCAAATATATAAATTATACATAGTAGCATAGAATCAATTAGTAGAAAAATTATATTAGGTAATCTAATTAATAATTTACTTTTTAAATATCCCCTTCATAATGAATATTTTATTAAAATATATACACAAACAATGCTTATCAAAATAGAATTAAAAGTATATATATATATATATATATATATATATATATATATATATATACATACATACATACATACGTAATGTATATTATTATTAGTACAAAATCAATTATACTTGCCTTAATAATTACATAGTAATTATTAATATTATTGCATAATAATTATGTATTGTCACCTTTTTTGATGTAATTATTATGGTAATTTGTATACATATATATTTTTATACTTAATGTATAATATTATTGGCACAAAATGAATTATACTTACCTTAATATATAATTAATTTTTAATATAATTTCCTAATTTTTATTAAAGGTAATTATTCTCATAATTTTTCTTTCCTTCTTTTTGTGTAATTATTATGGTAGTTTTATGGTTATGTACTTAAATATTGGAAGAGAACAAATAATAAAATTAATATTAATATAATATAATTAATGAAATTATTATGGTAATTGCCACAATATTTGGTAATTATAATTAGTATAATTAATGAAATCTATATCTATATTTATATATAATTAAAATTAAAATCTTTCTTGACAAATTGTCTCCCTCAAAATTTAAGGGCATTTCTGTAATATCATCCATTATATATATATATATATATATATATATATATATATATATATATATATATATATATATATATATATTTTATACAATTAATAATATTTCATATATATATGAGAAGACGATATTATTATACTAGAAAATTTGGAATTTATGCATAGTGCATATATAAATTACACAGAATTTATAAAACGTTAATGTTAATGTTAATGTTAATAATAATAATAATAATAACAACAACAACAATAATAAATCATAATAATAATTTTAAAGTCTGAATTATAAATTAGGTATTATGGTAATAATTAATATATATATTATTATTATATATTATTATTATTATTATTTATATATAAAAAAAATCATCCTATTTCATTTTCTCGCCCAAACTTTTGTAGTAAAGATTATTTGGTAAGTAAATGTCAAATGAAAATAAAATAAAATTTATTAATTGGTAATATTATGTATGGTATTATATTCTATAATATAATTGATAATATTATTGTTCAAGTATAATAAAAATCTTATGTAATAATGTAATAATAATAATAATAAAATTAAATTAATAATAATAATAATAATAATCCAAACAGAACTATATACAAAATAAAATTAAAATTTAAAAAAAAAATAAGAAGAAGACAAAGGTGTCTCCCCTTTGTAAATGATGTGGGTTCATTTTGATCCCACATTGAAAATGTTTGAAAAGAGGAACTCTTGAACTCCTCTATATATGAGGAGCAATGCTCCTCTTACAAACATATATAATTGTTTGCCCATCAATGTGGGCAAGTATTGAGAAGGCACTTGACTTTTTTTTTTTTTTTTAGTACTATTGACCCGTCAAATTATGTTGTGGAATCGTGTCCTCCTTGCTAGGTGGACACGATTCTAAAATTGTTCATAATTATGAATATATAGTTCAAAAATTATGAATATATAGTTTTATAAGTATGAACATAGTGTTGTGAACATAATTATGAACATATAATTATGTAATTATGAATATAGAGATTCAATAATTGTGAATATGAAGTTCAAAAATTATGTATATATATATTTATAATTATGAATATATAATTCAGTAACTATGAACATAGAATTCTGTAATTATGAATATGTAATTCAATAACTATGAATATGATGTTCAAAGATTATGAATATTTAGCTTTATAATTATGAACATATAGTTAAGTAATTATTAACATAAAAATGTGTCCACCTTGCAAGGTGGACACGGTTCCACAGCATAACTATTCAATTGACCCTGTTACATGTAGTATATGTTCATATAAAGTTTCTCAGCCTATTGAAGCCCAACGTGTCAAAAAGACTCTTATTTAAGAAACATTATCTTAATGGCTTCTTATTTTAGTTTTTTATTTTTTTTATTTTTTTTAATTTATTAGGGGGTTTGGGAAAGATTAACCCAAAATGTATATGAGTTGTTTTAGTTTTTAGCAATTTCGAGCAAATTGCTAAGTTATTAAATAATATTTTTGGTGTTTTGATTAAATATAAAATATTAAACAGACGAATTTCTTAAAATTTTGGCAAATTTGCCAAATAATCAAATTACAACAACAACAACAACAATAATAACAACAACAACAACAACAACAACAAAAAAATAAAATAATAATAATAATAATAATAATAATCATCATCATCATCATCATCCAAACAAAACTATATACAAAATAAAATTAAATTTAAAAAAAAAATGACAGAGGGGAGTCACAGGCTCCTTTTGTAAATGATGTGGGATCATTTTGATCCCGCATTGAAAATGTTTCAAAAGAGAGAGTTTCTCTATATAAGAGGAGCAATGATCCTCTTACAAACATAATTGTTTGTCCATCAATGTGGGCAAGTATTGAGAAGTCCAAAGGCTTTTTTTTTTTTTAATTAATTAACACAAACAACAAGCTATAAATAGCAAACAAAACTATATACAAAATAAAATTTAATTTTTTTTTTTAAAAAAGAAGAAGACAAAAGGGAGCCACGGGCTCCCCTTTGTAAATGATGTTGGATCATTTTCATTCCACATTGAAAATGTTTGGAAAATGAGCTATTGAGCTCCTCTTACAAACATAATTGTTTGCCCATCAATGCGGGCAAATATTGAGAAGTCCAAAATGTATATGAGTTGTTTTAGTTTTTAGCAATTTCGAGCAAATTGCTAAGTTATTAAATAATATTTTTGGTGTTTTGATTAAATATAAAATGTTAAACACACAAATTTCTTAAAATTTTGACGAATTTGCCAAATAATCAAATTACAATAATAACCACCACACCAACAACAACAACAACAACAATAATAATAATCCAAACAAAACTATATACAAAATAAAATTAAGTTAAAAAAAAAAAAAAAAAAAAAAAAAGACAAAGTGGAGTCACGGGCTCCCTTTATAAATGATGTGTGATCATTTTGATCCCACATTGAAAATGTTTGAAAAGAGAGAGCTCCTCCATATAAGAGGAGCATTGCCCCTCTTACAAACATAATTGCTTGCCCAACAATGTGGGCAAGTATTGAGAAGTGAAAATGTTCTTATTTAAGAAGCCTTTAC